TGCAGGTCTATAGGAAAGTGGCCAGTAGTCCACCAGTATTACTGGTAGATTGCAACTCTGCCCCTTAGAGGAAGGGCATAGTTATTGGACCTTATCCCACGGGGCCAAAAGCAGCAAGAATCCACTAAGAATCAGGCGCTATAGCGCTATACATTCCTTGGTGATCACACGACGTCGCTCAGAATGCACTAAGAATCAGGCGCTATAGCGCTATAGTTTTCCGGGTGATCACACGACGTCGCTCAGAATCCGCTAAGAATCAGGCGCTATAGCGCTATAGTTTTCCGGGTGATCCCACGACGTCGCTCAGAATCAAACAAGAAACCGCTCGGAATGCAGCATCATTCGGGTTCTTTTGAATGTCGGTTTCAGCGGGCAGTGCAATAGCGCTAGCTTATCCATAGCGCTATTATAGCGCTAGCGCCATATTTATACTAGCGCTATAGTACTGCAATGATGCTCATATCGCTTTCTTGCCACTTTTGAGAGCAGCGTGGGATAAGGTCCTACGATAGCAATGGCATCACTAGCCTTGGTGTCACCATGTGTGGGGAGTTGCTGGGGGCTTGGGAATGGCCTACCTGGCCAATCTCCCACTGCCTTCCTCACCTGCACCCGCCGCCTGACCAAACCTTGTAAGGGCTGTCGGGTAGTGGCACTGGCAGATTCCCCTGCCTCCCCTCCCACTGCCTCTCTTTCTTCTCCAGCCACGGCGAGGGTTGGCCGGGCAAGTGAGCAGAAGGAGGGGATGGAAGGGGTGCCTCCATCCCTCCTCCTCCTCCTCCGCCGCTGCTTGCCTTCCTCCTTGGCTGTCCAGATCTGGGCACCACAATTCAAAAAGGATGCTGACAAGCTAGAGCGTGTCCAGAGGAGGGCGACCAAAATGGTGATGGGTCTGGAAACCATGCCTTATGAGGAGCTGGGTATGTTTAGCCTGGAGAAGAGAAGGTTAAGAGGTGATATGATAACCCCGTTTAAACATTTGAAGGGTTCTCATATTGAAGATGGCGGAAGCTTGTTTTCTGCTGCTCCAGAGAATAGGACCTGGAACAATGGATTCAAAAGCAGGAAAAGCGATGCCGCCTCAACATTAGGAGGAACTTCCTGACAGTAAGAGCTGCTTGACAGTGGAACACACTCCACTGAAGAGTGGTGGAGTCTCCTTCTTTGGAGGTTTTTAAGCAGAGGCTGGATAGCCATCTGTTGGGGATGCTTGGATTGTGAGTTCCTGCATGGCAGGGGGTTGGACTTGATGACCCTTGTGGTCTCTTCCAACTAAGAAGGGGTGGACATTGGGCACAACAGCACCAGTATACACACATTCCCCCACAGCAGGAGGATGCCCAACTGGGTGTCACTCTGAGGTGTGGTCCGTACTTCCTGCACTCCCCCAATGACACCGCTGACTGTTAGGGAAGAGAATTACCTTAGGACTTCAGCCAGTGTTGCCTCTTACTTACAGGCTGCTTCTCTGTTTCTGGGCTCAGAGAGGGCCTATAAAGCCCTATATGGTTTAGTTCCAGACCATCTGCCAGACAACTATCTCCCCATATAAGCCTCCCTGCACCTGGAGATCCCCCAAAGATGCTCTCCTGCCAGTCCCACCACCTTCACAGTCATTGCTGGAGGGACACAAGACGGGGCCTTATGGGTGGTTGCCCCTAGACTCTGTAACTCCCTTTTTAATCCAACAGGCTTTTAGAAATGGAGGCTCCTGTGAACAAATCCTGCCAAAAAAACTCAATGATGGCGGTGGGTGGAGGTTCACCTTAGGTTTGCCTTAGAGTCACCATAAGTCAAAACAACAGCAACAAACAGGTTGAGTCTCCTTTATCTGAAATGCTTGGGACCAGAAGTGTTTTGGATTTTGGATTTTTAAAAATTTTACTTTGGATTTTTGAATATTTGCATATCCATAAGGAGATATCTTGGAAATGGGACCCAAGTCTAAACACAAATTTCATTTTATGTTTTAAATACACCATAGCCTGAAGGTAATTTTATACCTAATATTGTTAATAATTTTGTACGTGAAACAAAGGTGGTGTACACTGAAGCATCAAGAAACAAAAGTGTCACTCTCTCAGCCACCAATTTTGGATTCTGGAGTATTTTGGATTTTTAAATTCCAGATAACAACCTGTGTATTGTTTTTATTGTATAATTTTTAACGGCTTTCTCTCTTTTTAGAACTTAACATTTTGAATTTTTAATTCATTTAATTCTGTTGTCTTTTGAACACTTTTAGCTGTATGATACCTAGCTTTTAACCACTTTCTTTTTAGGATGTATATTTTAAAGTTTTACAATAGTGTGATTTATTGAATTCTGTTGACTTTTGTATGCCTTTAGCTGTATCGTACTTGGTTTTTAACCATTTTTTCTCATTTTAGGAGTTATGTTTTAAAGCTTGACATTGTGATTCATTTAACTCTTTTGACTTTTGTGTGCCTTTGGAGGTATTGTCCTTAATGTTTAACTGCTTCCTCGCCTTTTAGGAGTTGCGCTTTAAAGTTTTACAGTATTGTGATTTGTTTAATTCTGCTGACTTTCTATTTTTAACTGTCTTGTACCTACCCTCCTTTCGGTAAAGACCAGATTATCTCCCCACAGGGCTCTGGGGGTTAAACGGTCGGGCAGATTGCCAGAAGGTTTGCCCAA